AAAGTAAGGAGATCCGGAATCATCCGGATCTCGGGGGGTAGTTCGTTCCAGAGGGTGGGGGCACCCACAGAGAAGGCCCTCCCCCTGGGGGTCGCCAGCCGACACTGTTTGGCCGACGGCACCCTGAGGAGACCCACTCTGTGGGAGCGTACCGGTCTATGGGAGGAAATCTGAGGCAGAAGGCGGTCTCGGAGGTAGCATGTTTCTTACCTATAAACCAAAATAGCGTAGTTCGAACCTCAAAAGAAGGTCTGTTTTCCTGAATGCCCATGGTTAGTAGAAGCTGTAGTGCTGGTAAGAAGAGACTGTCCAGAAATGGAATCCTTTCATGTCAGACACCTTTTAACTGTAATGATACGATAAATAATTTTGTTATCCTTAAGTTCCGAGACACCTGGGTGATGTATAAACTTTTCAGGTTCAATTTCTCTCCTTTTCCAGAGAATTACCTTTGAAGAATTGATTGCACGGGGCAAAATGTCCCCTAACATTTAATTCCCCATATATATTTTTTTTACCGCTGGAAGATTGTTGTCCTATTTAATGAACAGTGACATGCTAGATACTTTATCTCAACTCCATGTTATCCTTCGAAAAAACAAAAACAAAGAGAGTTGTTTAAGCCACAAGGAAATATTGCTCACCTAGCATGCAGAAATCAGATCACCCCCCCTCCCTGAAGCTGGAAAAGTTTGATGCATAAAATGGTAACCTGTCTGTTTTTCCATATATTGATGATTTTTTTTTAACTAATAAGAGTGCCTTGCCTAGTGTTTACAAATACTGTATATCTCTGTGAAAGACTTGTTCTGCTTGATTTCTGGTGTTTGTGATGTGCTGTCAATACAACTCTGTGCCTAATAATGTTTTTTTACACATCCTGTGGGGTTGGTCTAAATATTTTGGACTACTACACCCATCAACCCATGTTGGCTGGGGAATTCTGGAAGTTGAAGTCCGCATGTCTTAAAATTGCCAAAATTGAGGAATATTGCCCATTATCCAAAGGCAGCCTAACCAGAAACCACAGTAGCCCAAAACCTACGAAGGGCATCAGATTGTGGAAGACTCAACTTTGCCCATGGAGAAGTTGTCAGAAAAGGTTTTGGGGTGTTATTAAAATCAAGTCTTCGTCTAAGAGAACCGTGTAATGTGTCATCAACCTAATTAATACGTCGGAGTCGAAGGACATTCAACAAACATCTTTCTGTGAATTTTTTGTCTTTTACTTTCCATCTGAGGTGTCCCGACGTCTTTCCCTATTTAAAGTCTCTTCCAAGACCTCAGAGAACTGCGACTAAACTGTCCACCTTGGTTTACGATTTTGGAATTTTAGCCAACGGCTACTTTGAACTGATTTAAAAGACAGGACAAAATAATTGTTGATTGAATGTGTCTGGTCCAGTATTGATTCTATTCTGAGACTGGCCGAGGTGAACATAAATTGCACTTAAAGGGTTTTGATCCGACTTGCAATCAGTGGCACAACCATCCCACCTTCTTGGTGATTTTTGTAGAACTTGTTGGGTGTGTATTTGACACATCATGGATTTCCCTTGAATTGTGTGTAGCCAGAAAAAGCAACTAGTACTCTTCATATCTGAAAATCGCAGGACTTTTTTTTTTTTTTAATCCAATAGATTTGACTTTAGGGATGAGTCAGCTTTTTTTTTTTTTCCATTTCAGGGATGGAGGGAGACCTCTCCTCCAGAAATCTCCCCAAATTTTGCCTTTAAAGGCCACCAGTCAGCGTTTGTTTCCTCTATGCCGATGAGTTTTTGAGATTGCTTGGAATTGTTCTCCTGCGGGAGGGAAAGAACCGGTCGGTGTTTATCTTAGAGGAACAACATTGCCTGAGCCAAAGTTTGCCTTGTGCTCCATCCTAGCAACAAGGAGAATTCTGGGAGTTGAAGTCCAGAAGTCTTAAAGTGGCCAAGTTTGGAGACCCCTGCTCTACTTGACGGCAGCCAGGAGACCTTCTGAAGGCTAGCAGGGCAATAACAGCCTTGCAGAGATCAGGGTTTTTCCCCACTATGAAAGTTGCTATGTGGAAGGACTCTAGTTTCCCTTCCTTTGAGAAATTGCACCTTTAACTCCCTCCATCGGCCTGAAAATGAATCCGTAGCCCTTAGCAGAAGTCTGAGTAATAAGTCTCTTCTGCCCCTTCCTCCTGTAAACAAGAGAACAAAATATTACATGTTTTTTTGAAATTCAGGAGGCCTTGACCTCCTCCCCAAGGCAGCCCCCTAGACAGAAGGGAGCTGAGCTTCTGCGTCTTTGGCTTATTTTTTTCCTCCTCCTGTTGATGAAGAAACACGTTTTCCCGTTAGCTGTTACGAGAACTGGGGCGGCCTCGTGTTCCAGCTTTTGGCCAGCTGTGCTTTTTTTTGTGGAAGGCGAGCACGTCAGATGTTTATATCCTGTTATGAAGGTTGCTATGGTAAAGCCAGACAACAATCGGCAATTAAAGGAGATCCCACCACTGGTTAATCAGCAAGGGAAGAACTTTCCCTCTGAGAAGTTCCTAGCGTAGGGTTCCTGCTGATGGGGTGGGGGATTTCATCTGGAGGCTCTCCCCCCCCCAAAAAAGTCTTACAGCTTCAGGAAAAAAACCCACTCCTGCTAAGAATATCCCACGGCCTTTTCTGTGATCTGTATCTGGCGTCTTTGGGACAAGATTTAACCTCCAGAGATGGGCTGAGATGTTCTCCAGCAGTCCAAGGCTGCCCAAACCTTTCTGCTGTTGAGGAAGGCTTCAGGACAGGGATCCAGGGAAACAGCAGAGCAGCGGGAGAAAGGGAAGGAGATGGGGAGAGAAACAACTCTATCCCTCCCCCTTTTTTCATTTTTGCTTTGCTCTATCTTCCTAAAATCTCTTCATCCTTCGGCAAGGTCTACTCTAAATGCTGCCTTTTTCTCCTGGGGAGGGGTTGCTGGGATGCTGAATCAGACCTGGGGCAGCCCTGCCATCTTTCCTTGCCAGTCCTGCTTGTTACTATAAAAGCAGAATAGGGGAGGACGGGGATGGCCAAGGCAGGACTGTCCCCCCCCCTGCAGCCAAGTCCCTCCTCATCTCCTCCCCTACCCTACCCAGAGGCTGGTGTGAGACCTTGGCACACAGCTGGCCCTTTTTTTGGGAAGCCTAGCAGAGTCTCCGAAGGGTGTCCAGTGCCTCACACCTAACAAGCCATAAAAGGCAAAGAGTGAAGACGGTCCATCTGTCCATCTGCTTAGCCTGCTGCGAGATGGGAGCTGGGCAGTGATGCTCTGATTTAGCTGAAATTGTCCGGCCTTTCTCCAAACCTCTGGCTGCATATAAACTTAGATCCTTATTTAAAACACTCTTCAGGCGAGAGAAGTTTATTATTAGCAGAGACCGCCGGAACCTAAGATAAGTTGAGTGCCTTAAAGAGATTGACTGAGATTCACAAGGCTACTCTGTTTACTTCCAGAATGCCTGGCGTGTCACAACCATCCTCTTAACAATTACATATCCCAGCACCGCAGATAGAATCAGCATCCCCTCCGCTTGCTGGCCAAAACTGCCTCTTTTTCCCCAAGCGTCACGGATGGGACAGGATGGCGCAAGAAGACCTTCCCGGCGAAGGTGTGCCAATCTGCTTTTGATCTCTTGTGCCCTTCCTTAGGGAGGGGGTGAGCAGAGCCTCTCTTGACCATAAATGAATGCAAAAGAAGAGCTGTGAAGCGTCACTGC